TCAAGCGAGGATCACCATTGGTGATGCCTGTGCTACAGTAGAAGCTAAAGTGATCAAGAACCTTCCATACGAAGTCATGGTAGGCCTTGACTGGAGACAGGCCATTCTGGTTGACTATATTGAATGCTATGATAATGGCATTCACACTATTGAGTTCATACAGAAACTGAAAAAGAATGTACGTATATCAACCAGCAGTGACTCGGACACTCAACCGTCTATGTCAAACATCGTGACAGAACTGAGCACGGTCAACCTCGTAAAGAGCAAAAGCATCGAATACTCCAAAGAAATGTCGAGCCAACCAGAAGTCTACTCAACAGACGTCATCGAAGTGTGTGGAGCCATTGATGCGAAGACAACAGTGGTGCGTGAAGTGCCCCAACTACTATCAGCGGAAGAAATTGCCCAGTTGATTCAATGTAAACCTGTCCCCGAAGATTTCACAGAGAGTCAAACAAAAATGTTGAAAGCGTCTCTGCTGAACAACATTACTGTCTTCACCCACCCTAACAATGACTTGGGTCTGTGCACACACATCGAACATGCAATCGAGCTCACTGACCAAAAGCCGGTCAGGATGCAGCCCTACAGCACAAGCGATGCCAACAGGACGTTCCTCCGGGAAGAAACACAAGAGTGGATCAGAAGAGGTACCATCCGCCCTTCAAAGTCCGCCTACGCCTCCCCCATAATCGTTGTCGACCAACCACACCATGAGACTACACCGAAATGATTGTGTGTGGACAATCGATTTTTGAACGCGAAGACGGTCAAGTGAGCCTACCCAATGCCAAAATTTGACACACTCATTAGGAAAGTGGCCGGATCATGATATCTGTCAAAGCTGAATGTCAAGAAAGCCTATTTGAACATACCACTATGCGAAGAAGACATTTCTAAAGCTGCTTTCGTGACAGAACATTGACACTTCGAACCACTACGAATGCTTTTTGACCATTGACTGTGGTCATGTGATCATCTACATCGATGATGTGTGCATCTTCACTGACACTACTGAGGAAGACATTGAAGTGCTTAACAATGTACTGAAGGCTCTTCACGACTTGGGACTGCGTGTCGTATACAGCAAGTGTATGTTTGTAGAAAAGCAGATACCATTCCTTGGATTTCTGATATCACAAGAAGGAGTGACGATCGACCCTCAACGCATTGCAGCGATAAAGAACTACACGGCACCGAAAACAAAAAGCGAAGTGAGATCATTCCTTGGACTTACATCACATTACCGCAAGTACATAAAGGACTTTGCGAAAATTGCTCAACCACTGACACTTCTCACGAAAAAAGATGCCATCGTTCAGTGGACGCCTGAATGCCAAGGTGCCATGAACATGCTGAAGGAATGACTGACCGAGCCACCTATCTTGGCGACGTTCAACCCAAACCTGCCGACACAAGTACATGTCGACGCGTCCCACACAGCGCTCGGAGCAGTCCTTCGACAGAACTTGACAGAACTTGAGGAAAGGTCTTCGACAGCGACAGCCACAAGCATTCGACAGAACTTGAGGCAATCGCAGCTCACTGGGCCATAACCAAACGTTTCCACTGTTACCTGCAAGGACTAGAACATTTCGAGCTCATAACAGACAACTGGGCTGTTATGCACATTATGTCTAAAAAGAATCCCAACAGGCAATTTGCATGCATGGTCCTAGACCTGTCTACATACCATTTCACTGTGTGGCACACATCTGGCAAGACAAATACCGTGGCAGACACACTATCAAGAATGGTGAACGCAGTGTTTGGGCTGAGGGCAAACGATTCACATCTGTGTGAAGTCCAGCGCAAAGATGCAAAACTGGTTGCTATTATCAAAGACATCGAAGCTGCCACTGAAACGGAAAACCGAAGCAAAGCTGGCGAAAGCTACCAGATCGTTAATGGCATGCTCATGCACAGTATAACCCAACATGGGAAGGCAATAGAACGAGTTGTCGTGCCCAAATCACTACAATCTGCTCTAATGCAAAGTCACCACGATCATGCTGGTCACGTACACACCCTGCGAACGAAGTCGAAACTAGACAAACGTTACTACTGGCAGAATATGGACCCGGACATTGCAGAGTATGTGAGGGAGTGTCGGGTGTGTCAGAAGCACAACCATGCAACAGGTGTACAACCAGGAACTCTCAACCCAAGGGAGGTGCCACAAACACCCTTCCACACAGTGGCCATCGACCATGTGGGGCCAATCAACACAGCTGACGAGAACAAATATGTCATAACAGCTGTAGACGCAGATACAAGGTTCATTGTCACACGGGCAGTGCCGAGCAAGTGTCCACCACATGTGATCCAATTCATTAAAGAAGAGATTGTCACTAAATTCGGAGTTCCAAGAATCATAATCAGTGACAACGACAGTGCGTTTACGTCGAAGACAACGAGTGACTATCTACATCATCATCACATCGAACACACGCTCACAGTGCTGTACGCACCACGGTCTTGTTGAGAGAGCCAACGGTCGACTTCTCCCACCTTTACACAAGAATGTTAATGGAGACGTCGACCACTGGAGTGAATACCTTGCCAAAACCACCTTCGAAGTCTACGCACAGTTTCACGCTGGACTCAAGATTTCACCATTCGAACTGTTGTTGAACTACACACCTCGAAGGATAATTGACAACCAGCTACAGGTAGACATCCATGAGCCCCAACAAGACATCGAGATGGTCCGGCAAGAAGCGTTTGACAACATGACAGCCTACCTAAATGGTATGAAAACCAAACACGACCGAAAGCATCCGCCAGCACCCTATGAAGTAGGAGATGAAGCCTAGTACGAGACATCATCCAAAGCTGGGAAGAATGATCCTTGGTAAAATGGACCATACACGATTACTGACCGCGCCAAGGAAACTTTCACGATCACCAGAAGGAAGAACAATCGCACAGAAACAAGGCTGGCCAGCGCAACGCAGTTAGAGTGCTTTCATGAGAAAAAACAAGACACAACTGCACGATGACTCCGCGCAATCCACTCAAGCCCCGTTAGCTACTGATGACCGGCGCAGACTAAGAAAACCACCACGTTGGCTTCAAGATCTCGTCACGGATTAATAATGTGAAGACGCATTACTTAGGAGTCCGGGTGTGTTAGGCATTACATCCACTACGGACAGCTGGGGCCACCTATCGGGATGTTGTGCAACTATTAGCGGTTGAGGAGAGCGGCCGCAAGGGGGACAGGGAGAGGATGGTTGGGGCGAGTGTGAAGCGTTTCACGAGGCATCAGTTATTTATTCTCTTCGAATCGTTAATAAATCAGTTGTTTGTCGTTCAATCAGTCGTGTCATCGTACGCATCAACCCCTGACAGGGTCCGTCCTATGTACGCCTGACACAGAAGCCTAACTGATGTTGCATCCGCACACAGTCGCACCGTGCACGATTAAGGTCCCCTTTCCGTAGCTTGGGTCATCGCAGTTACATTGGTTCAGGTGAGTAAGGCAACAGGCTAGGTCAACAAACAACACAATTGCTACGGTAGCAATAGCGTGTAAATGTTGCTTAGAGGGACTTGCGCTCTAGGTAGATAACAAAAGGTTAGACGCTTACACCTCATTCCTTGTCATCCTTGGCTCACAGGGGATACCAGGTTCGTCCTTCCTGTTAGGTGGCCGGTGCAAGACAGAGCGTCCGACCGTTGGCACGCTAGTTTTCTCTGCCGTCCCAGTTTCCCTCTCCCTGACGAGAGTACATTTCCTCACTGAGGGAGAGGAAACCCATTCCGTGCATCAAGAAAGGGGAATCGCAGGCACTGACCGCAAGGTGAGCCGTCTCTTCGCAAGAGGCTTCAATGACTCGTGTCTCGAAGGGATAGACATGCCCTCGCAGCTAGGCTGCCGTGCTGCCTTAAAAGGGAAAGGTTGGCTGGGCGCACATGCTTTCCCACAGACCAACCAGCATCGCTGTTTCTTAGGCTTTACCGGGCTAGTGTAAACTTCATTTTTATCGTTCCCACTACAAGAAATGTGCATGTAAGTAGACGATTAGCGATGGCTAGATTCTGGATAAGAGTTGGACAAATCACCCTGGGTGCTCTGAGAGACGTACTATACAACAGAAAGAAATGATTTTCTAGTAACAGACCGAACTGCCTATATAAGAAGGAGATAAGGACTTTTTGTGCAACATGTCCACAGCATCCTAGGCGATTCAATTGCTCATTACTACGCTACGTATATTTGATTTCAACATAATATGATAAACAAGTTGTAAGTTCTTGTCTTATTGCCTGATCTAGATCTAACACTACTCGTCATCATGAACAGTAATGTCACTTTAGTCAAGTGCTGCTAGTAGCGCTCGTTTCCGCCTTCTTTTCACTGGCGAACTTGGGCGAGTTTCAAAACTCCACATAAAATATCAAAGGCGGCTTTTTCGAAATCACAAAGTAGAGATGGTATCTTTGCAGAGAAATCGTCTTCACTTCTTTCATGAAACTGGACTGCCTGTATCAATGAAATAATAAAGATGAGTAAATATATATTATGAATAATTGCGATATTTGTTGAATTACCATAGTACGTGTTTCTCCAGACATCATGTAATGCACCCACTAGCGAAAAAGCAGCTATGAAGCAAGACAGAAAGCATGCCATTTATCTGAGTTTTTATGCATTCTCAGGCACATTTCGCTGAAGCAAGCAGCACATAAGCTTGGTTTTCTTGAACGTGCGACGCCTAAAAACTACTAAGCACTTTTGTGCTTTGTACACATAAACAGTATGCAATTCTTGATCAATACCGATCTGCGTATTTTGCACTGCTACATTACGTAATGTAATACTTCTGTTGCTACAAAAAAGAATTATTCGTCACTACATTCAATCCATCGACATGTCAGCCACAATGAGATTCCTCCACAACGGCATTCTTCAATATTTAGGATCTTTGATGGAGAACATCACTGTTGTGTTGAAGCACAACCGACAGAACCTAATAAATGTGAGCACTCACCAACAATAAGAGTGAGCCAGAAGTTCCATCCAAGAGATAGGCGCAGGAAGTTGTTCCCTTCAAGTGGTATGACGAGTGGCATCTCTGGTAGCAGGCTCCCATAGACGATGGCCGATAGCACCATCAGTGCACCGGTGAGCTGCGTGCAGTAGGCGCCATAGCGTGGAACAGCGCACAAGAGCACGTCGGCGAGCAGCCAAGCAGCGAATGCAGCCCACAGGAAGAGTTGTGTCCAGTCGCCCGCACGACGGTACATACGCCCCCATTGGAAACCGCCGGCCTCTTGCGTCCAGTAGGATGGCTGCGAGGGGACAGAAATCGTTTCAAGAGAGGTAGGTGTGTTTCGTACACACCGAAAGCGAGAATGTGTGCAGCGGAATACTCTGTTTCGCTCATTGTTGAACTCTTTATTTGTCGCGATCTCTTTGCTCTCGATTCATTCACTTTATTCATCAAACTCGTGAAACTTCAAGAAATAAGGAAACAATGCAGCACCTGGAGCAAACCGGTAATATCTCCAGGTGTCTAGGTAGCAGCAAACTACAAAGAAATTTTGATCGTAATGGCCAAACTCATCAATAGATATTCATGAACAATTACACCCAGGCATGCTGACATTGGACCAATCTTAGTCCAACTTCGGTTAATGTCGCCAGCAATATTGGCCCCATGTTGATAAATCACGCCTGCGTTACTTCGACCAAAGTTCATAGAACCTGTTCAATTGTCAAACCCTCTGCCTCCGCCATACATTGAAAGCGGCGCAAGACTTACTTCCGGTCTAGGTGGCGCTACTAAAGCAACAGGCTTTTCTCAGTAGACGATGCGGTGTCAGGAGACATGGCGTGTGCAGTTTCTCTCTGCGCAAATATTGAATTGCTTGAAAATGCAATGATGAGGACGACTAGTTTTTCTCGTTAGGTAATCGTGAAGGTCTAACACACTAGCAGGAATGCCTAAAAACCCGTTATGTGGTGTTCTATGTTGCGCAAATCATAGCAGGCACCTGGTTATGGGCAGATCGTGCGGCTATCAAGTTCAGCGTGATATGCATTAGTGGTGTTCATTGTCTAAGTGACCAGCTGTGACAACAATTTTTTTCAGCTAATGGGGAAGACTCCAAAGATTCTGGTAGGTTCTGTGAAAATACATAACAGCAGAATTTTGTTGGAACTGCATGATTTATGCAGTGAGATCTCCTCAGATCATTCTTATTACCCATTATAGTTTGTTAAAGGCTGCAAAAACAACTAGAAAACATCCCTTAACATTGTCAGGCGTATCGACTAAGTGGCCCAACACATTCGCAGAACTTGGTTGTGCCTGTGTAGAGACATTTTGGTAGCGATCAAGACCGGTCTGGGCTGGATTTTATCACTGGCTCATTTGCGAAAGTTGCGGAAAGGAGACAATCGGGCTCCAGAGCTTCAGCTTCGAACAAAATATGCTGCTCATACTTTTAACTTAATACTTAACAGCAGCTGCTTCTTTCGCAGCGAGCTAGGACACATTCAATGACTCAACACGTGTGAGAAGTTTTGTTTGGTGTAAAAGCATGGTGATAGTGTCAGATCTAGATGTCTATGCAACTCGCCCATTCGGTCGCTGGTTCAATCCTGGCCTTAGCAGTCGCATTTCGATGGAGGCTATGGTGACCCCGCTCCTAACTGCAGCGGACGATCACCGCGGGTTCACGCTTAGCGAGCCACAGGGCCGCTACTCAGTTTACTCGCATGTAGCGCACCGCTTCACGCGCGCTCAACTAATAAGGCGTTTAGCGCGCCGCGGCAGACAGACAGTGTTCGAATGCAAAAACACAACACTTTATTGACTCTGGTGGCACCCCGAACAACAGTACAACGTCCGCTCCCGGGACGCGGGTAGCAAAGGCACCCGCACGCGGACGTTCACAATAAGGGGAAAACCGCGAGCACGTTGCAGCTGGCAATGGCAAGCTTTGACACGCCGGTCGGGCAAAGGTCCCTCGCGGCTATGCTGCACACTCTCACGATGGCCAACGGGCCTGGTCGCGAGTGTTAGGGCAAACCTCGTACGCGTAGGCCTACGGCAAGTGCGGCTCGTTGCGGTACGACCACTTCAAGCACTAGGCACCGCTGTGGGCTTAGCGTTCGCTACCGAAGCTAGTCTCAAGTAAACACGCCTGCCGAGGTGCCCAAGGCCACTCCAGGCAGGCTACAGTCCGGCGATTCCCAAAGGGGACGCGGACGAAGGAAAACACGTGCTTACCCGGCGCCGACCAACGGAGAAGAGGGCGCTCCCTCGGCGCGCGCGTACTTAAAGTCAGATATCCTGTCATATATATCCTGTCCTGGCTTAAAGTCATCCTGGCTTAAAGTCAGTGATATCCTGTCCTGGCTTAAAGTCAGATATCCTGTCGGGGCCGGAGGTTAACCAAAAGGCAGTCGGCAGGTTAGCTCTGGGAGCTCACAGTAAGACTATACAAACGAGGCCGTACAAGGCGATATGGGTTGGGCTTCATTTGAGGCGAAGGAAGCACAAAGTAAAATACGGTTTGAGGAGCGACTTAGACATTTAGATGAGAAGAACTGGGCAGCCAGAGTACACAGGTACCTGTACCTGAAAAGTCTGGACACACTATTGCGGAAGAGGACGCGAAAGCTGGCGGCTAAATATAACTTGACCGCGGCAAATAAGCAAAGGGGGCCAGTTAAAAAGCAAGTGAGGGAAACAGAGACGCTCATGTGGAAAGAGAGGATGGAAAAGAAGGGATTGCTGGGAATCTACAAGGCAAGCAAACAAGAAATCCGGAAAGAGAACATTTATGACAACAATAAAGGTAGTGCGTTGCTCTTTGGGGCGCGGGCTGGCTGCTTGAGAACTCTAGGTTACAGGAGCAAATATTCGTCACAGGATGAGACATGTGTGGGATGTGGCATAAATAAAGAAACAATCGACCACATAGTCATGGAATGCCAAAAGATTCAGCCGGATAGAAATGGGGGGAAAGTCACACTTCCTGAGGCGCTGGGCTTCGCGGTTGATGGAAGCATTAACTGGTCAGCAGTAGATATTACTAAGCAGCGGCTGGAGTATTGGTGGAGGAAAAGCAGAGAAGTCGATAAAATAGCATCCCAGCCAAGAGTAGTGGCTGGGCAAAATTAAAAAGACATCCGAGTTGAGGGACAAAATTTAAACTCGAACTATTAAGGTAGGCTAGATGACGCATGCCGTCACCCCGATTCAAAGGGGAGGCCTTTAATCATCATCATCATCATCGTACCGCGTGCCGTGCCCGCACGTGGCGCCATCTATCGCCACGTGGTGTTAACAGAGCAGGAAAGCAAAAGGGTGTGGCCGTGTGGCGGAATGCCCGCGAAATGGTCGCAGACGCGCCTCAGATCCCCACATCCTCCTCTCCTTAATTCACCCTATATACCGGTCTGCAAAGGCAGCCGGTCGTCGCCCATGCATGCAAAGGCGTCATGCAATGGCAACAGCTAGCCTCAGCCTCGATCTGCAACTGCTGCGGAAGAAAAAAATAAACAACACAAGAATACACTTGACAAATACAATGGCTCCGCGGAAGAGGGGTAACGGGAGTTCATGATGCTCACGCAAGAGCGCGTCCACGGCTCGGAGGGGCAGCGTCACGTAATGTCTGACTTGGGTGATTGCGTGGATGCGAAAGTTAAAGGGGAGGGTTCCGGTTGAGGCCTTCATGCGAGGAACGGGCTCACCTTCGTCTCGTCGATGTTGACGACAGCCCTGCAAGTCCGACGAACGCCGCCTCGGTGGAGGTTCGGATCGACCTCGCTGCGACAGCCGGCCCTCGTGCAGGAGCCGTGATAGAAAGGCCAGCAGAGCTTATCAGCGACGGTCGGGAGCAGGGCGCAACCGGGCTGCCTAACCACCGCAGGTCTCCAAATACTTCCAGAGTGCAAGGTGGGGTAGGGGTCGGTGACTTCTTAAGTTGTCGCCACACGCACGCACACACACCTTCGATGGTCGGGTCTCTCCAAACGCGCACCGCAAAGGAAGCGCAGAGTGTCATTTGTCCCTCTCCCCACGCTGAAGCACCAATTCACAATCCCCTCCTCCAGCGAGAAGAAAAAAAAGGAAACACGGAAAAATATCAAGGAAACAACAGCACTCAAATGACAATCAGCAGCAGTAACTGGGCGGAACAGACTTCTTTGCAAGCACTGGCTGTAAAGAAGTTAGCTAACTCAGACTAGACAGTAAAGAGGAGGGCCTTCGGTTGCGGAAATAAGCCCGCCGTCCGGCGCGAAATCACTAAGATGACCGCTTCCTCAGATTATACCGGTGCGTGGTCCGAATGCGGTCCGCCGCGCCGGGTGTGCGCCGTTGCTTGCGCGAAGAGCCACTGGGCGCTGGCTCGTCATACCTTGACGCAAAGGCTTTCAGTTCTGCGATGTGGGCACGGCTGAGTTTTCCCGAAAGCGGGTCTTTCAGCAAGTACGCGAGTGGAGTCCAAGCTTTTTCCACTCGGTACGGACCAAGCCACTTTGGAGCGAGCGAAGTTGAGAAACCCTTGCTCGCATCGCTAAGAGCATGGTTGCGCTTCAGGACGAGGTCACCTACCTTAAATGAAAGGTGGCGACGTTTTCGGTCGTACTGGGCCTTTTGCTCGGCCCTGGCCGATGCCAAACTCTGCCTCGCTCTACTGAGAGCTCGACAAAGCCTGTCCCGAAGTGTGGAAGCGTAAGCAGAACAGTCTGCCGGTTCTTCCTCGTCTCCGAGCTGGCATTGCATGACACTGGTCACCGGATTTGCCAACTCCCTTCCGAAACTAAGGAAGGCGGGAGAGAAACCAGTAGAGCGACTCTCGGAGGTTCGTATTGCAAACGCGAGTTCACTCAAATGGTCTGCCCAGTCCTTTTGACTTTCAGCAAAGGCCGCCAACATCGGTTTGAGCGTACGATTGGTTCGCTCCGTCAAATTGGACTGAGGACGGTAGGACGAAGTGGTGCAGTGATCTATTCCTAGGGAACGGCACGTATCACCAAACACCCGAGCGGTGAAATACGACGCATTGTCCGTGATCAATCTTTTCGGAAAGCCGAACTGACAAAACACTTCCTGTAGCCTCTCTAGCACCGCTCGCGCTGTCACTTTCCGCAGCGGAAACAGCTCCACCTAGTTAGAAAAATGATCAACAACTACCATCAGATGTATGAACCCCTGCTTACTCCTGGGGAACGGCCCCATTAGATCGCAGGTGGCTACTTGCCACGGACGCTCACTGACAATCGGTTTCATCAAGCCGGGCGGCTTGCCACCCCTTGATTTCACCGTTTG